AAACCCTAAACCCTAAGCCCCGCAAAGCTCAACAACCCGACGGAGCCCAGAATCCTAAGGAAGGCCCTAAATCCAAAAGCCCAAACCCCTAAACCTAATCCCCAAACCCTATAAGCCCCAATACCCAAAACCCTAATAGAGGGGCCTTAATAAGAATAGGGTTTCGGTGCCCATAGTACTATACTCATCATAAGGATCCCCCCCAAACAATGTAGGTAATTATGAAGGCCCCTACAGTAACCCTAAAAGCCTGCACGTTCGCCGAACCTGAAGCCCTCCGCTGGACCACCCCAATCAAAGTCTTGTAGCTGCCTGAAAAACCCTAAACCCTAAACCTTAAACCCTAAACCCTAAACCTTAAACCCTAAACCCTAAACCCCAAACCCCCCATAGCCACCATGACGAAACCCGGACGGAACCCTACAAAACTCGATACCACCGTGGTATACAAATCCTTCTACAGCCCATAGAAAGACTGATATACAGAGCCCCTTACAAAGCCCATATAAAGCCATACGGGTAGTTCGCTAAATTAGGGTCCCTTTTAGGGTCCTTTTTATAAGGGTGCCGTACTATATAGGGGACCTGAAAAGGGACCCTAATTTAGAGAACTACCCATAAGATGAAGCCCATAAAACCCAAAGACCCTGGGCAGAGCCTGAAGCCGTTCCACGAAGACAGGATCCCTGGTACACATATTTAAAAGGAACTTACATGTGGGGAGTTTAGGGTTTAGGGTTGAGGGTTTAGGGGACTACAAGTGGGGAGTTTAGGGTACATAGGGCTTCTATAAAGCTTCTATAAGGAATATAGACCTTCTATAAGGCTCCTAATAAGGGTAACCACCCACGTGAACATGTCCTAGACATGTCGGTCTTTGGGGTTTGCAAGGTTTGAGTTGAGGGAGTACCTTAAGAACCCCAAAACTCACTTTTTTGAAGGTTCTTATTGTAAACCCTCATATGGGATTTATAGGGACCCTACAAAAAAGTCGGTTTGGTTTTGGGTTCAACCCTAAACCCTAAACCCTAAACCCTAAACCCTAAACCCCTAAACCAAAAGGTAAGGGTTGAAGTTTTCGGGGACTCTGGGGCTCAGAACTTGGAACTTATAGGGAAAGGGTGTTGCTCTCTTTTGGCTTTTCTTGGAGACTGTCAGAATTTAGGGTTTAGGGTTTAGGGTTTAGGACTGTTAGAGTTGAGAGTTTAGGATTCACGACTGGGATTTAGGGTGGGGATAGAATGCTTCGGCCGGAGCTGGGGAGGTCGCCAAGTCTACAATGAGACTTGAGCAGGGCATTTCGGGTACACTTTCACAGCATGGGGTTTAGGGCGGTTTAGGGTTTAGGGTTTAGGGCGCAGAGTAGAAAGGGTTTAGATTTAGAGGGCTGGAGGGGTAGAGCTTGGGCAGGGGGCCTTAACCCCGTTACACTCTTGTCCTGAACATGAAGCCATGTGCCTACGATGTTTCGTCTGGCGGAGAACTTGTCTGTTGCGAAGACCGAATTAGAAGCGAATGTGAACTGTTAGGGTGTGACCACAACAATACAACTGCTAATTGCACGACTTTTCGCCTGGCTTACGTTTTAAAACTAAACCCTAAACCCTGAACCCTATAAGCTTTAGGTGACCGCTAGTTGTAAAAAGGCGATAAATAAGGCACTTATAGTAGGTAAGGGTATATCTGGAGTTCTCGAAATCCGGGTCCCTGTTTAGGTTTTCAATATAGTACGGCACCCTTTTAAAAAGGACCCCAAAGGGACCCCCTAATTGAAAGAACCACCCACATGTATATACCTGAATTAGGGTTATATATGCAAATTCAGGTATAGTTGCCTGGTTTGTAACGCTAGTTACTATGTCCCTTGATTCTGCGGAACCAGTGCTCGATGCGTAACTTGGGACTGGGATCAGATTCGACCTCTGTCCGGGACGTATTGAAAGAGTTGTTGAGTGATGTTCCTTAGACGCCACCAAAACGCAATCTCCATGTAGGAAAGTTATCACGGGTAGATGGCTTATGAATCTGCGTTTCAGTTGACCGGCTTAACCTATCCGTGGCTCTTGGCATAGCTGGCTTACAAAGCCCGGCCCGATCTGTCCAGTAGATTCGGTACGGCTTTGAGCTTACGGTTCAGAGGGGGTTAGGTCGGTTTAACAAGAAGTTTGATTCTCTTCTCAGCTGGATCTGCCCAGCTCGTTTATTCACATCCTAAAACCCAAGTACAGCTACATATCGAATCTCGGGACATGCTGGAACAACTCTCCACTAACACCATGACTGCATCCTACTCCACAAACCCCACCCACTGGCCCAAATCTCCACCCAAACCCTAAACACTGACCCCTAAACCCTCAACCCTGAATCACTGAACCCCAGCTGAACCCTAAACCCTAAACCCCAAATCCGAAACCTTAAACCCCTGAACCCTAAACCCTAAACCCGAAACCTTAAACCCCTGAACCCTAAACCCTAAACCCTCAAGCTTGGAACAGGGGAGGCTTAGCAAGCCCGAACTGCCAAAGGCCCAAACTTCGATCCCGAGCTCTCCAGAGGGTCCGAGTACCCAAATAGCAAGG